GAACATCCTCACCTATTCGTTTGTCTTAATTATCATCTATCGTGTCTAATCACTTTATGATCTATTATTCTTAATTAGGATTACGACAGGGTATTTAGTTCTATGGGTATCCCGGCTTGTCTATGGCGAAGGACCGGTGAAATATATAAAGGAAACAAGGAATTTGCCTTTCTCATTGGAGTTCCAGTGGATATGTTAAGAGAAGGTCGGCTTTGTATATATGAGGTAAATCACATATAAATTGGAACATCTATTTATTGCATCGATGACTATTGTGTGCATAATATTTTTGTTCTTTTATAAGTTGATGATGGAAGAATCTGCTGTAAATTATTGGGAGGTTTGTAATGGATGCCGTCTCTTCTGAAACTATGTCGGAAAATAAAGCTGCTAATAATCTTTGCCTGTTGTAATTCTATGATCTCTCCTTCAGAAATACGGAAACATAGCGTTTGACGCCGGCCAGAAGGCTGTTTTAACATCTTGTTTGTTAAGAGGGCCGGATCAAGATCTCCAGAATGTTATATCGTGTTGCTTCTCGTTCACAATTCGTCGGGATAAATATAATATGTATGTATGCACCTTAAAGTGTGTTATTACTGTTGCACTAACGAATTGTATTAATCAACCATGCCTCCTCTGTTTTCCTAGACCGGTGCGTAACATCTTTTTTTCCATGTCTCATGAATTAGCACTTAATTCCTGATTTAACCAATCTTTCGTATCCCAGTCTGCCATTGTTGGGAATTTTCTTCCGATTCGACTGTGAATTAATATATTTATACTTCGTCTTCGCATTCACGAGTTTTACCCATCTCGACGTCTCGAAAGTTCAAATAGACACTATAATCATTTAGCAAATCTAACGAACATTCCCCTAGCTTCTTCTGAAATATGTAAAGATAAAAAAAAGTTATTTAACAATTTTGGTCGAATATAATATCATATGCATACATACGTACTGCGGTTAAAGTTTAAGCCAAGGAAAATTAATCGTACCACCATAAGATCTTTCTGTTACTCAAGTATTATTAAGTTGTGATTGTGTAAAGCACCTGTTGTTAAATGACGTAAATAGAATCTTCGTTAATTAAAAAAAAAAAAAAAAAAAAAACTTATACTGGTAAATGCAACAAGCGTAAGACATTTCCTTAAAGTGCATTACCCCTAACCATAGAGCGAGAAAAAGCGCATGCACTTGTTAATGGAGCTTTTTCGTACGCTTGGGAGCAATGCATTCGTGACGAGAAGTTTCTCAGTATATATATCAATATAAAAATTATTGTACTCGTTAATAGGATAAGATCACTTTTTAAAAAAAAATTATTAATAATTCTGTAATCTTGATCA